CCTCGCGGTGGGCACGTTTGCTGGAGGGAGGGAGGAGATGGCCAGCTCCGGGTGGGGGCGCTGGTCAGCTGCGCTTTCGGGGGGCACCTCGAGTGCCCAGGTGCTCCAGTTATGGAAGAGACGGCCAATGGGTGGGGGAGGCAGAAGCGGGGAGGGCAGGTAGGCAGCTTCGCCGCGCAGAGGGCAGCGACCGCAAGGACGGGAGAACCAGCGTCCCCTTCGTTCGTAGACGAGGGCGGGTCGGACGCGTTCTGAGGGCCTTGGGGAGCGCCAAACTGGACCCACGGAAGGAAGCTGGGGCGGGGGGACGAGGAGGGTCAGCACCCTGCCGGGCAAGGCTCTGGACGAGACGGCTGGGGCTGCGTGGCCTCCTCCAGGCGTAGCTCCGTGATGTCTCCTCACGCTCACCTTCCGACTTACTGGTGAGATAAAGTGTTGAAACAGCGCTGGGCACACTCCAAAAAGAGGCTGGAGAAATAGGGGTCCCTCCACCCCCTCCCCCTCCCCACCAGACCCAGGCGGGAACCTCACCCCTCCCTGCCCTTGTCACCCGTGCACTCTGCATCTTCTGGCACGTGGTGCCCGACCCGGCACAGAAATGTTCGTGGCCCTCAAAAATATTCGTCCTCTCTCTCATTGATCTGCCGCCTCCACCAGGCTGCCCCTTTGCCTGAAGATGGGGGCCCCCTACTCCACTCCCTGTGGCCGGCAGGCCCCAGTGGGGGCTTCACAGGAAGAGATCAAGCACTGGCCATTTTCATGGGGGCTCAACAAACCCTCTTTGGGAAGGGGGGAGGGGTGGGGAAGGTGCGGACTGAGGGGGACTCAAGCCCCGGGTGGGAGGTGAAGCCATCTCCCCTGGTCCCGCTATTCTGTGACGCTCTTTGCTCCTCTCAGCTGGTTTTCTGGGGACTCCGGCACCTCACCAAACACAGCGGGGGCAGGAAAGCCCCGGAGGACTGGGGCAGGAAAGGCAGCGTTATAGGAGCCGGAGAAGGTGGATGCAGCTGCCCCAGGGTCCCTGCTGGGGAGTGGGAGGAAGTTGTCACAGAAGAGTGTACCTTTCCTTGAGTAGAAGTGCCCAGAACAGACCCGGGAGGAGGTGGACGGGGCCCCGCCCGCCAGCGCCCTGCAGGTGTCATGGAAAGGGCAGAACCCTGGAGAGCCTGGGGTCACACCAGTGCCACCACCTGCTTGCTGAGTGACCCAGGGCAAGTCCCCAGACCTGTCCCACCCTCAGCTCTTCCACCATGTCCACCTCACAGCACAGGTGTGCAGATTCAGTGCAAGGAGCAGGGACACACGAGGCTGACATCCTGGTGCTCCCATCCAGCAGCCTGGCCGGTTCTCCCAAAACACTGCTCTGCTCCGATGCCCCGCGCTTCACATCCGGAGCCCGTCGTTGCCTCTCTGTCCGTTCCTTCCTCACTTGCTTAGCTCAGCAGAGTAAAACGACTCCAGCCTCGGACACTGGAGGACACACAGGCCGGGTTTAGATCCTAACAACACAATGAGGGGGCCCGGGCAAGCACAGCCCCACTGGAGAGCGGACGTGAGCACAGGGCTTCTCACAGGGTTGGTGTGGCCAGTTCTGGCTTAGCAAGGATGCTCCAGAATGCGCATTGGTGTTGTCAAACTGGGCCTCACCCTAATTCAGGTCCTTTCCCCCTCCTCTCTGATCCTGGGGAGACGCCCTCACCCCAGGCTCTCCATCTGTCAGTTCTGCTGAAACACCATCCCATCCTCCAGGATGCCTGGAGCCACAGTGACAGGCCTGCCCCGGGCCCAACACAGCAGTCCGCTCCCTTCCGAGCCAGGCTGGAGACCCCGGAGCTGGTGGTCTCCGACCGTGCTGAGCCCCAAGGCAGGGCGTCAGCCCCTCTGCACCCCGTACTCCGTGCAGTCTCCTCCGACTCCCTCAGGGCTCCTCCATACTGTCTCCCCCGTTCTCCTCAACGCTCCTCATGAGAACCAAGACCCCTCCCTTGACCTCCTGCCCACCCTACTCCCATGCCATGCATCGCTTCCTCTTCAGTGTCTGCACACGGCCCTGCGCCCTCAGCCCAAGGCTGAGCTCCGGTCCGGGCCCTCCACCCTCTGTCCCCAGCCTGCCCCTCTCCCTCTCCCTCTCCCTCTCCCTCTCCCTGGTTGT